GGTGAGATAGACAATATAAGAAAGAGAGGAATAGAATACTGGTTTTGTAAAAAATTGTTCTTATAGTCTTATAATGGGGATATATAAAAATATGTTAAGGAAAAACTTTTAAATTGATTACTTAATGTGTGTATTAATATGATTTGAGTATTAAAGCGATTCACATATAAAATTATTTATTTTAATTACAGCGCCATCTTTTGTAATTATATCGCACCTTTAAGTTTGTTGCACCGATCGAAAGATGGCGTCGTTCTCAATCTAAGCATTAGCTTTGCAGTTTAGCTGCCCAGATAGAGACTTGAATACTTAGAAGTTTTTATACATATTTTATTGTTTTCAGCGAAACAGAGTGCATACACAAATCGTGCTGGGAGGAGGAACGAGACGACAGTAGCGCGTGCAGCGACGCCTCTCTCACAGACTTTACCACGGACGATGAGGGCAAATGGCATTGCCCGCCTAAACAAGTCTGGAAGGCTACCGTCGAGGTATACTATTTAACAATATTTTCATTCGCACTTCTTCTTTATATTTCCAATGCAATAAAACATTTTACAAATGTATAATAAGCCCCATCTATTGTTATAAACATTTTAATGACATATATTTGTCGTAGACACAGCACCTTCATAGAGGAAAGGTTTGTTGTTACTTATAACCAAAAATATTAATCGCCCTATTATTTATTGATTTGTAGTTTTGAGGATTCGTTAACAGATGTAAGTAAAATGTGGGCTATGTCTCTTACTTACTTTTACATTTTACTTACATCTGTTAACAGATGTGGGTGGGTGTCTGTGGGCTATGTCTCTTTTAAATATTTGAATGTCTTTGGAAATAAGCGAGTAAAATAGGTCCCTTTCTTGCGTATCCATGGATTGTATGGATGATACAAGGAGAGGTTTTTTCAGGCTATTCAAGAATACAAGATGGTGCGGGAGGGTGACAAGGTGCTGGTTTGTCTCTCAGGACGTCGGGATTCTGTCGCATTACTTCACGCTATGCATCATTACCAGTACTACGCCCGCGCTAAGGGACAACACTTTAGTATAGGTGAGTTAAATCCACTCTCTCTCCCTCGCTTTCTCTCACTCTCTCTCCCTCGCTTTCTCTCACTCTCTCTCTCTCTCTTAATGGTTATTGGTCAGCTCAACGAACTTTTGCCGATCTTGTGCCAAGAAATAGATGTTCTACGCTGGCTATATTCGACAACTCCTTGATATTTCGCAACCACGATGCATTCAATCCACTAAGCGACAATTGACAATTTATTGTTCGGACCTTGTTTGATTGAGGGCTCATTTTATTAAAAATCGAATAATACAGAAAACCATACCAGTTTACTAGTCTTAACTAAATAATTGTCACTTTCTTTTACTTACCAACATTTCTTACTTTACTTACTTCACTGTTACGTATGTATTGTTAAGAAGAAAATCAGTACAACGCTGGATTAGCGCAACACTAGATCATTGGCATATGTCCCTTCCCTATGACAGCTGTCAATGTCATTCTGACGTATTATAGCTCGCCATTCTGACGGGAGTTAGTGGTCGAAGTATTATACTTTATTATACTTTTACAATTATATTAATATCTAACTGTATGTATTCCAGGAGCACTGTTCGTACACGAGCCGCAGTCGGAAGTGGACCCTCTACATTTAATGGCGTACTGCAGGACTTTAGGAGTCAAGTTCATATATGAAGATAAACTGGATGATGAAGAGTCTAGTAAGTCTATTAAGTAATATTTCATAATTTAAGTACCTAAAGTATATAAAGCACCAATATTAGTGTAGATACAGTTTTAAATAGAAAAGAAACAATACCAATACCAATCATGTTCCAATGTCATTACCATTCATCATCTCCTTTTTTTTATGCAATAAGGTGGCAAACGAGCAAGCGGCCACCTAAATCCGCCAAATTGCCGAAGCGACTGCTGCCCATATATATCCGCAATTGCAAATGCGTTGCTTACCCTAAATCCACGGAGCAGAAGTCGCACATAAAGAGGATATTTCCCCTTCCTATGCGTCTCCTCCATCGTCAAATTCACTTTCCCATCCAATCCTTTCCTTATTTGGAAAAGGCGAAACGGGAAAGCGACTAAATTGGGTCTCCGGCACCACACTCATCAGACGAAACGCG